GTGTGTGTGTGTGTGTGTGTGTGTGTGTGTGTGTTTGTTATTGCTGATTAAAATTTTACCCTGAGCGTTCTGCGAAAGGACAAACTTCCTGATGAGTTTGTCCGTGGCCTGTGTGTACAGGGACAAGGCGTAGCGCAGAGACTGCAGATCTGGACTCTTCTCCAAGAATGTTTTCTTCAGGCCCACGCCACCAGCATGAAAGTATTGCTGCGTAACAGATATGACAAATGAACACTTATTATAGTGGAGATGAGGAGAGACACACACAGAGAAATCAACAAAGAAGATCCTCCAGTTTGACAGAACTGGTTTGTAGAGTGCAGCTGCTTTGTCAGCCTCGGAGCCATGACGCACTAATATGAAACAAACAGGTTTGTTGGTGCTACAAACAGACAGACTGAAGCTAACAATAATATATTAACACTGATGTTAGTATCATTTTTCTTAATAACTTCACAAGGAGCTTTTGTTTTCAGCATTTGTTGGTTTGTTATTTAGCAGGATTACACAAACACTCCTGGATGTATTACTGCGAAATTTGGTTGAAGGATGTGGTATGGGTCAGAGAAGAACAAGTTAAATCTTGGTTCAGGAATTTTGCCACCACTTTTTCTAACATTGCAATGATTTCTCATGGAATATTTCATGGATCTTGATGAGAAAAATGGGACTGATATTTATGAGTGTGTACAATCTGGTGCAGATCCAAATCAAAATCGTGATCTAGAGAATTAAAATTTGGTTTCATAAGTGGACTGTTGGGGCCTTGGCAGAGGGTGATGATGTTATGTTGGAGTAACAGACCACACGATACCTTAATGGTGTCGAGTGCCAGCTCTATAACTGCACACTGTTTAGGAGTCAATGCTTTGGCCTCCTCTCGCCCCATGTGCTCCTGCAGGACAGATCAAACACAGGAGTCAGTCAACTTCATATTTTTGCTGTTCTGTCACAGTTGCTGCCTTTTATTTTCATCACCTTGAGCTTAGAAAGCTGTCCCAACTCCTTAGCAGCATTGAAGATCATCTGGGTTCCCTGCTGAGGAGAAGATGGGCAGACAGACGCGTGAGTTCAGTAAAGAGGGACATTTAAGAGATCAGGTGGTTTGTAAAGTGAGAGGTGAGTTCAGGAGGTCAAGTGAGAACAGGCAGCTGCAAACACAAGAAATGAGTTTGAGGAGTGAACGGCAAAAGAGTCAAAGTACAAATGCTATGCAAAATTTTGTTTTCTCAACACTTGAGTGAAAACTAAGTGGAAAAAAGTTATGTTGTCTCCAGTGCACTGTGCACTTAAAATTAAGTTCTAATGCTAGTGGTGGTACGGCTCACGTTAAAAATAGTGTCATGTCATGCTCACAGACGCTACACACACACACACACACACACTAACATAAGCACACACACACTCACACATACTTACATTAACCTAAGAAAAGCAGGAGAGTAGAGAGAATGGGATTAATGGCAGGATAGATGAGTTCATGTACAACCACAATGGAAAGCAGCAATGAAAAGCAGTGAAATTCAGAAGAAAAGAAGGAAATAAAAAGGAGTGAATGTCTTTTTTTAATATTACTATCATTACATACCGTCTGATCAGTGAGTGTTGGAAGAACAATTGTTTTTTCCATTGTGTTCATCACCAGTTTCCACAGCTCTTTCAGCACTCTCTTCAGGACAGTCTTTTCACAGATCTTAGCAAACAGCGACAGACTGAAACACAGAAACAGACTCTCACTTACTGATGTGAAGACACAACTAAAGCATTTATTTACCTCCCTCAAGGAGATTATGTCTTCACCCCTTATCTGTTTTTTGTTTATAACCCAAAATCAACTAACCCGGTTACCCTGAATCTTCATGGAAGGATGAGATATGTGCCATTATATTATTTTCACTTTTCTTTCACATTTTTGTTGATTTCTCAGAGAATAATTCATTGATCTTGATGAATAAAATCCGGATTCTTTAGGGGACTGTATGAAATTTGGTGCAGATCCAAACAAAATCTGGGTCTGGTGAATTTAAATGTGGTGTCATGAGGGGACTGTTGGGCCTTGGAGGAGTTATACACTCTAGTGCTATTTGAGTTTCATAAACTTTTTTTAAAATTTTTTATTCTAGTTCCATAATAAGATATAATACAAAATTCTATTTTGTTTCTTAGCCTGAGGACAATATATTTTGTAAAATGTATTTAATTCACTAAAGATTAGATGTTATATTTGGATCAGCAGAAATTTGCCTTGAAATGTTTTGGATTTAAGAGTTTCTAAGATGAAGAATTTGTCCAAACATTTGACAAACATCTGTTGTTTCTTAAAAAGTGCTGAGGTTCTCACTTGCTGTCCAGGAAGTCCATAATGGGCTGTAGGACGTTGTCGGCCTCCTGAACCACGCTGCCATTGGCTGGTACAGTCTGACCTTTGACTTGAGCCAGGATATCACCCATCTGCCTCACGTTGTCCTCAATCTGGGGCTGGAAACTGCAACACCACCAACAAATAACAACATGAAAATCACCCGCTGGAGATGCTGGTTGCAGCATCGTATTTGTTCTCAGGCAGCACACGAACCTGACTGCAAAAATGCGGCTGAGGTCATCCATGACGCTGTTGAGTTTGTTCTGCAGCTCCTTCAGGAAGTCACTGGCCTCCAAGTTGAGCTGGAAGAAGATGGACAGAACTGATACATGGGTCATATCATATTAGCAAAATCCCAACGATAACAGTGTGTGTGGAAACTTACGTCCTTGCCTCCCATGGCCTCAAACATCTTCTCCAACTGAACCCTGAGCTGCTGGATGTTATTGATGATGATACACGGCTGAGCAGAGAGAGAGAGAAAAATCATTACACACAAACACAAACACACACACACACACACTGCATTTTGCTGTAATCAATCAAAGTTAGTCCTCCTAACTTTTTTTATTGCTTCGTAGGCGAAAACACTTGGTGATGCAGGACAGGAGAAGAAGGAGTTTTCAGTAATTACTGCTCCTTCGAGGGCTCCTGGTCTCTTTGGGAGTGCAGCCCACTTTTCCCCGAGTCTACACCACATTCAGCTAATTACACAGCCCTAATTCACTCTGAAACACTGCAACCTGGGCACACTGAAGAGTGCTTTATTGTGCTGAAATTAATCAGCCTGGCCACGTACACCAAACCTTTACAAAGCCTTGATGGAGCAGCTCAAATGAAACTGTTCAGTATTAATCACTGCTCTTTATTTTTGTGCTGGCACAAATTTGTATCTGCTAACTTGTTTACAAACCATTTCTGTTTATAACTTCATAAGGTCTTTTACTTTGAAATATCTCAAACGCCTACCACTTTCTCCTTCTTGACATGATTTGGGAAGTCTTTCGCTATGATGTCAGCATAAGACAACAGGACATTGCCGATGGTCTATGAGAGAAAAATAAAAAGAATGTTATCAGAGGATCACGCAGCGAGAAATTACACATAAAATATTTTTAAGCAGTGATAGCTGAGGTAAAAAAGTTTGTGTGAACATTAGGAGGCAAAAGTCACCTTGGCGAATCTCTTCATGTAGTTGCCAACAATCTGCGGGTCAGGACACTCCAGTTTGCGGATGATTTCAAAGCTTTGATTGAGCTGAGAGAACACGTCCACCACCGAGCAGGAGAACAAAGCGTGCTCCGATGTGACCTGGAACTGGAGAACGAGAAGAAAGAACGGGACCAGGGGGAAAAGTATGAGAGGCTGCTTCATGGTGCTGATGTGAGCTGACTAACACTGAAATTAACAGGGGTTTAATTCCCACTGAGGGCAACCCCGTGGGGAAAGTTCACAGTGTTGTTACACAATGAAATTAGTTCCTCTTTAGCAGCAAAAAATTGGTGGGAAGATTCCTCTGAAAGCCTTTGTGTTAGAGCAATGGAGGTGATCAGAGAGTTATGATGAGGAGCAGGGCTCTCATTAACAGGCCGGCCATTAGCCTAAAAGCGAACAGTGTTCTGGTGTATGACTGGGCCTGGAGACCACGTTTTCGCTGACACAGGAAAACAGAAGCTGCCTCGGGCGACATTAATTGGACCCAAAGGATCCCTGAAATATGAGCCAGGAGAATCTTCAGCTGCTTTGTATCGACCTCATTGCTGCATGGATATGTAGGCGTGAGCGTGACGAATTGTGAGATGGTACATGGTGTGTGTGTGTGTGTGTGTGTGTGTGTGTGTGTGTATGAGTACACATCGACTTGTACTGTAGCATCTGCTCCCCTCTGCAGCGAAGCTTTTTCCAGTTGCATTTGGTATCGAGTCATTATTGATTGCCTTGAGACATTCAACCTGCTCCTCTCAACCTGGAATGTGCTGAGTCAGGAGAAATTATGTGAACTGCCAGAATCTGCATGAGAAATGCATGAATATATTTTTTTTGGGGGGGTGCTGCAGGTAGTTCCCAGTTAGGCTTTCATGTTGTGTTTTATCGCTGCCTCAACAGGATTGAATTGATTAATTTTAGTCAAACTTTTGTCTCACATGATTTCCGGTTTCTATTTTAACACTTAAATTGGTTATTAAAGCAGAAGTTTGACGTTTTGGGAAATGTATGTACGCCTTTTCCTGCTGAAGCAACAGCAAGCACCTGTTAGTATGGCAGGAAGCATATTTTACAAGTGAAAGGTGAAGATAAAAGCCGTTACCCCGTCTTTTTTGTCCCTCTCCAGGGCTCCATGAAGAAAATCTCTGGACACCTCCTCATTTTCATCCAACCACATGATGACAAATGGCTCAAACCAGCTACAGAATGAAAAAAAGAACGTTAGTCTTTGTAATACTGTTGCAAATGTAGCAGGAAAAGTGTGCATGCTGTATGGATAAGATACTCACGCTGGATATTCAGGGACATGCTTCTGGAAAGTGGTCAGCTCCTTGCAGTACTCATTATAGAGCCACTTCACCTTGAAGTGCAAGTTCATATAATCTGCACTTTTACACAGGCGGTTCTTCTCGTGCTCTGAATATCAAAGAGAAAGACAGGATGAGAAAAGTTCCAGCTCTCTACTCGTTCTTTAAATGTGCTGTAGTTTACACATAAAAAAGAAACAACACTTGAAAACAAACTCATGACACAAACTAATGGCTCCTGCCAGGTCTGTGACCTCTACATCCTAACACACAGATACACACCGACACACACACATAAAACTTACCCTCCATGGCATATTTCATATCTTGTGCAAACATATTCCACATGACCTCAGCGCTAATCTTGCCCACATTCAGTTCCTGGGGAAACCTAGAAGAGGCAGAACTCAGACTTGAATCAGGCTCTATATCCATGAATGGTACATTATTATTAAACTACTGAGACATTGTCCTCATTGTCTCCCAAAACAACTCCACTGAGTTCTATCAAATTCATTATCATACTATTGAATTTACAGTTTTAAAAAAAGGCATGGGATTGAAATCCAAACAACACCCACGCATCCACGAAAGCTGTAGAGAAATGACTGTACGTACAGGCTGAGGGTATATCGAAATAAAAATCATACACAGCAATATAATATATTGTTCTCATTTGTACACTTCGATGCTTTGTTTATTACAGTCTGATGTTCTTAGACAAATCTTTATGTTCTTTTTACTTCATGTTCTGTCTTTCCGAACTGACAGGAAACAGCTTGTGGCTTCAAAACAAACAAAGAACGTTTTTCTGACTGTTTGACCTGTTTGTGTTTCTCTTGATTCTCTGACACCCCCCACTCATATTCTAGGGCTTTGTATCTTGTGCTTTGGTGTCGTGTGCTATTAAAGCCCTATGTTCTCCTAATCTGGCCTAAAATCTACATCACTGCCTCTACATGACACATCAGAACAAGTAGACTGACGTTGTGAGGCGACACTCACTGATTAAGACAAGGCGTGTAGGAGTTTTTGTCCTCTTCTATGATGGAGACGATGAGAGTGATGAGTTTGGACCAAAAGTCGAGGTTCTTGATGCTGGGACCCTGCTCATCTGGAGGCACTGCCTTTGACTGGACACAGAAAGAGGTTTAAGGATTCACACAGTATTCAAACAGCTGAAAGCAAAGTAGAGGTGTTAATAAGTAAGAATACTGCTACTACTTTTGCTTCACACACTCAGACTTACAGGATCTGTCTGATATTCCCTATTGTAGAGGTCATGGCAGTTGTTGAAGATATACTCATAGGTGGAGTTGAGACAGGCTTTCACGCAGTCCTTCACCACCTGGCTCGCCCTCGGGGGACTCTGCAGCTCCTGGACCTGAACGCAAATGTTACACAACATCTGGATGAATTGAAAATTCTACAAAAGTGTCTGTCAGAGACACACAGTCTTAGCAGGGGGTTGTCTCTAAGGGAAAATAACCCAAAACTCACTGTGCTGCACAAATTGCACCAACACACATTAACACCCTGAGTCTCCAGATAATAGCTTCAGTTTGGATAGGGAAATGTTGAGTTGATTCTCAGCTTGTGCCTGAGGTGACTTTACTTAACTAACTGGAAACATGGTCTCCCATGCTTATCTTAAAGTAGCAAGCTGGTGTGAAAAGGCAAAGAAAGAAAAGAAAAAATTATTCTTACCTTCATCCTGAAGAATGTGATGCTTGTCAAGAGATCAACAGTAGACTTGAGATCTTGTAGTCTTTCAGGACTGCTGGCAGGGAAGTTATTCTGAAAACAAACACACACACAGCAATGAAAAGAAAATGCATAAAAGGCTCACCAGAGTTACAATCTATAGAAAGACAAAGAACATGAATGTTAGCAATGACATTTTCATCTGATTCAAAACAGAGAATAGAAAGTCTCCTACTCATGTACACACAGAAACAGCATAAACAGATGTGGCCAACATGAGTTGGTTTGCAAACAGCAACCAAGAGACTGTAGAAGTAAGTTTAGTACAAATAAAATGTTTTTGTTTTTGTTGAGTAGAGAGAAAGTGTCAGTACCCGGTACATGGACAGGTCGATCCTCAGGGAGTTGTGCAGCTGATCCAGCAGTTTGACAAACCTCTCCTTCTAAACAGGAAAGTACACAAAAAGAGGACAACCCACTCAGACAGACTGTCACATTTGACTACACAAATCTGAGGCGGTATCTGACACGGCTCAGCTGATAGGATGTTTGGGGAAGAAGGCAGGGCCACTTTAAAGTTATTGAAGTCATTTTCTGTCACATTTCTAGGAGAAGGAACAAAATATAAGTATGTATTATTATGTATACAAAGTATTTCTCAGGCACTCACGCCAAAGTTTGATGCAGCAAATCTGTCCGAGGCAGAAACGTTGTTGGAGGACTGGGTGGTGTGGGCGTAGTAAGCATTGATGTTGGCCAGCAGGGTGCTCATCACAGCGGGCACTCCTGGGCACATGTACTTGGACGATAGGCAGGCAAAGTGGCTGCAGGGTGGAAGTGGAAAAAAGAATACTTTGAACATTTCCTTCCTCTACTTCACTCTATTAATGAACAAATACACAGCATCTTTTCATAATCTATCTGAAATCAAAACGCTATAGCCATTTTAGTGGCAAGTAGAACAAAACTGATAACTCTAATTTCGGTTTTAATCTCCTCCAATTACTGTTATTCTCAAAATTCAACATTGTGTGATGTTAGAGGCACTGACGTCATGGCCTGGTAGATGGATTCGACTCCGTATCTCATGGCGAACTCGTCCACTATCTCCTGAGCCGTCTCCTCAAAATACACCTTCCAGGCATCATCTCCTTTGGCATCAGGGATTTTTACTACACCGCCGTTCTGCTCCTCAGTGGTGTACTGGAACAAATGCTGAACATGGAGAAAGGGCAGTATATGTTTATTTTTGTGTAGCCGTACCAATTGCAGCTGTATTGGTATTAAGTTGAAGCAATTGAAGAACTTAAATGTGTTATAAAGAATTTCATATTTACAAAAGAATACATTTCAAACACATCTTTTCATCTTTTTTTGTGATGACACACAATTTTGAAACTAAAAATGTGTTGAAATCCAGTTTGATTCAGATTTTGCAGTTCAGGCATTTGAACAAAGCTGTCCACCAAGACTGTTTCTCTGTGCTCTACCAATTTTCTGGTTGTCACTCACAATCCTGCAGGATAACAGGATTATAAATAAACTATGAAATAGTCTATAGGCCTTCAGGACAGTCTCATATGGATTTCCATATCCCCCTATATACTAGTGAAAAAGGCTCAATAATCCCAGCCAATTATTCATAATAAAGTCTCAAAGGACAAAGAAAGACAAAGAGATTTTGACAAAAAGAGACTAACTGGAACTGAGTGAAATTAACTAGAACTTCTGAACTAGAAATAGAGAGCTGTTCTTGCTTATTTCATGTTTTATTTAAAATGTAAATAATCATGAAAATACTTGGAACATTTCATCCAGATCAAATCAGACTGACCTCATGTAGACAGGTGTACTGGACATGGTAAGGAGCCACCGTCTCCTCCCCTTTGATTTCCACACTTATGTGCATCCGGATGGCTCCTGACACAGCAGACTTATCGGTTCTCTTGTCTGTCGAATAAAAAAAAAATCATATTGCTTAGTTGTCTGAAATGTATTTTTATCTAGAGACAAGCACTTCAACAACGGGTTTCTTTTTTGTTATCTCTGTGTGACTGACAGTTTCTCTAATCCACCTCTAACTCTCCATCGCCTTTTTCTCTTATCTTGCAAAACTCACCCAGGTTGTACCAGACATCCATCTCCCCGCTCAGAGTGCGGACTTCAATGATGGTTTGACCCAGGAAGTCATCGCTCTCACGTTTGAACCTCTGTTTCACACGAGACTTGATGTCGTCATCCTCGTCCCACACGCGGACCTTGATGCGGTCGGACGAGTTATGGCACTCACTAGATGAGGCAGAGACAGAGAATGTTGTCAAAGAGAAGACATCTGTGCAGAGCACAAATCCCGATGGTGGACTATATAAGAAAAGGCTAATTTGTAAGTACAGTAGGATATTTTGTGATCCATATACACAGGTATAAATAACCTTGGGTAACATAATTAAATGGACCTAAAATTACACATCATCTTTGGAAATACTGCACTTACAAGTGGAAATTCTCTTCCCAGACAGGGTTGAGGTTGCCATAGATAGTCTTGGTTCTCTTCTTGGTCTTCCCAACTTGAACAGTGACATATGGGTCACTGGAGCCTGTTTTGTCTTTCGCCTGCAGGCCCTGAGCACACACCACTGAGGAAGAGACAAGAGACATTCAAACAAAAACCCTGGCAGCTGTCTGACAATACACATTGTATTGTGCAATCTGATTAAAATCAGAAAAAATGTTTGTATAAATAGTTTAAAAAAGAAAACAAGACCACTACTGCAAGAAATCATAGTATCTTTTGCGACAGAAATCATGGACCGCACATGTTTTATTTATACAACTCAAAATAACTAATGTGCTGTACAAGCTGTCCCACGTTTCCCTCTCTCCTTAAATCTTTAATTCAGATAAGGAATAAACTAACCAGTGATGCTGATCTTTGCTGACCATTTTGAGGTCCCGTCAAGCACGCTCTGTTTGATCTGCTTCATGTGTGTGGCATGTGTTGATTTGTCGAGGGCAAACACTTCCTGTATCAGCTCAAAGATCTCCGGTTTGTTCCTCTCTCTGATCTTCATGCGGTCCTTCAGGACCATGATGATGTTCTGGGTCCGGTCCTCTGCCCCGTGCTTGGAGCTCTTCTCTGCAGCTCCTGATGAGACCGATGAATAAAGTGAGGGATGTAGGAAGAATAAGAGGACAGTGTAAAATATATTCAAGGTAACATGGCTCATAAGCACAACGGCTTACCCCCCTCCCTTGCAGTCCATCTATTTCCAGCCGAGCTAAATTGGCATCACATAATTTTTGAAATGGCTGTGGATCAAACCCCAAACTTCCCAATGTTATGGCAGTAACTAAATTCACTTAACCCCTGACCTGGTCAGGAAAACATTAGATAGTCACAGTGTAGAGGACCAACAGATGATTTGGCAACAAGATTTTACAAGACTCTTTGGAGAGAGAGGAGAGCGATGAATTATGCATTGTATAGATTAACTCTAAAATCAGCATGGAATTAGATAACTTTCCTCTTGTGTGTAGATGCAATGGCTAGGGATGGAATAGAGAGAGGTGAGAGGCAGAGGTATGACAGCACATTACTCAGGAGATAAATTGGAAAGGAAGAGGGAGGAGAATGTGAGAGTGGATAGAGGACAAGAATAATGGGATGTCAATCGGGCAGAAGGATACAGAAGAGGAGCTAAATAGGTTTAGGTCTGTGTGGAGGACTGGGTGTGTGTATACCTCAGTCAGAAGAGGTGCATGTGCTTTACAGTGTTTTACTTGTGCATGCGTGCAAAAATGTGTGCATCCTTACTCTGCAGACAGTCAGCATTGAGTAAGTCCTGGCACTTGTCGTGGCATTTGACACCGCACTCAGAGCAGCGCATGCCTTGGCGGGCGATACCCCACAGCAGCCCCTCACATTCATAGCAGTAGGTGGGGGTGGTGGCTGTCCACACCTCAAAGTTATGAGGAGTAGTGGAGGAGATGGGGTAGATCAGAGCCTGTAGAGTCTTTTTATAGACATGGCTCTTCTGCAAAGGTCACAGAGAAAAGAAATGTAAGTTTGATACTGATTAGATGTTGGAAAACCCTGGACAGAGTTTTGAAAAATTAAACAGGGAGGAGGAAACTCACCAACTCTTCATTTCCCAGAGTGGTGGAGGCCATGGCTGATGTAATTCCAGCTTTACGAGAGTTCTGCACCAGAGACTATGATAAAGAGGGTGAGGAGAAAGAGTGTTTATCTTGGAATGCTAACTATTATGTGGAAGTCAGATTTATATTTGATTTCTGTGAGAGATAAACAAGGACTCACCATGGCCTGATGAAACAGGAGGAGGGAGAAAAAGAGAAACAGATGTGAACATATGCTAGGAATTTCAAATGAGTCTTTGTGATGCATTTTGTGCATGTGTATGTGCACATCCCTGTGCATCTGACAGGTATGCCCTGACCTCTAGTGTGAATATATTGATTAAGTACTGTTATTACATTAACACCACAGATATGTGAGCTCTCAATTCATATGCAAATCAAACACAGGCAACCAAATCAACATGGTTAGCCTGTGAGAAAAAAAGTAAAAGCAGTATCAGGTTCAGATGTTTTTCAAGAAAAGGTAACAACAATGCACAAGAGGCAGAAAAAGAGATGTCTGTCTCATAGTTAACTTTTAGAGAAAAAAAGAATGTCTACAACAAAATTGATTTCAGGGCACCCCACAAGACGGGTGCATATTGTGTGTGTGTTTCTCACCAGATCTCTGACAAGAGGAATTGCTTTCCTTTTGCGAAGGTCAGGCATGCTGTCAATACTGTAGAGTGCACCTCCCATTCTGAATAAGAAAAGCAAGGCAATTTATAATCATCAGTATTTACAGTTGATCAAATTATTCATCAAATCCTTCATTATTCATCACATTTTCTAGATTTATTACCATAAATCTGATGTATTTCCCACAGTCATTGTTTCTAATGCGACTCCAGTCAAGGACTTCTCAAGGACTTCACTGGAAAGTTAAATTACACTGACCGCCCCATCTCAAATAGTGGGAATGACACTCCATACACCTGTGTTCAATTGCTGGGTTTCTATTTGGCAAACTTAGCACTTCTTCAGTATGCAGCCTCAGTTCCATGCCGAGGTCTGCCTCATCTACAAATGGCCTGCCAGCTAAGTCAGGACAGCCTTCTGCAGTTCAATACTCGCTGGCCGATTGCCAGTGAATGAAAAAGGAGGATTCCCATACTAAAGAAAGGGCATTTTCAATCTTACGGAACGATGGAAGGATTCCACAATGAGCTGAGGATCATTTTTATGGAGTTTAATCTCTAGGGGTATTGTAATAACTTGAAGCACACTGTGGGATGTATTGTGTTTTACTGGAAGAAACGACAGTGGACACTCACCCTCCTTTACCAAACCACAATGAGTTGGAAGTCTCTCCTCGAGCCTGAGAGAAGAAGAAGAAGAGTTGATCTCAGCAAAAGAAAATGACTAACTTAAGTTTTTTTTGTTTTTTTTCATTTTGTAGTCTTCATATACAGTATGAATAAAGCTGCATAACTAGACTGTAAGTTATCTGCTTATGAAACTACTTTACCAGACTCCTCACATCTAAAACCCACCCCATGTATGTCCTGCCCTATCAAACTGGATGACATCTCTTGGAAGATACAAGAGAGAAGATAAAATTGTTGATGATCAGAGTGAATGTGCCTGTTTAGAGACAGTAGGGAGTAAAACAAGACATCTGCTACTGTCACCTTCTGCTTCCCACTTCCTCCCACCCGTCTACAGCCCTCGCTCCCTTCTGCCAGGCCATGTTTTCCACCTCATTTCCACAGACCTGCCATCCTTCAGCCACCCACCAGATGTCCCCAGACTTAGTTTTACGTCTCATCCACCTGCTCACTTGTCTAACTGTTGTGCCTCCCTGTGTACCCGTGTCCTCTCTCAACTCATGCATTTTATTTCATCACCCCAGTCTGTAAATTTCACCTTGTTACCAGTTCCTTGTCTGTTAATCTGCTTTCAATCTCCCTTCATGTCTTCTACCAGGGTTTTGTTACCTTCCTGTCTCATGACTCACCTGCCTGTGTATTCATCTGTCTGCCTCTAAGCCTCTTATTTAACATCAATATTTGCATCACTGCATGAGCCTGTCTGTGTGGTGTCTTCACTGCCTGTGCTGTTATCAGTGTACCGTGATGATACCATGCATTTCCTTCTTTCTCTCAAGCTAGCAGGTCAGGTTGTACCTACCTCTCAGCATGCTCCAATGATGGCCAAGCAAAGTGCATGCGAGTGTCGCTATGGCAATGACATGAAACTAGAAAGAAAACAAAGTGGGTTGCCACAAATAAACATACAAACAAAAAAGGACAATAAAGGGAAGCCAAGTGCACAAAAATGAAACGTGACATACATCAACACAAACATTGAAGCAAGTGATTAATCATCTGCACAACTGAATTCAAAGGTAATGAATAGCAACATAATTAATGAATAAAATATGCAAAATGTGAAAACTGACCGAGCAAAACTGAACGTGTACAACTCAAACAAACAGTACTTTTGTCAAGCAGTGGTGTGGTGCTGCAAAACTAAAATAAAAAGTCTGCTGTCTGTCAAGTGTTTTTATTTCGAGAAAACTAAAAGGTATCAATTATAGAAGATGAAAAACATGAAGACTGCTTTCTGGTGTTGGGCAAAAAAAACATTATCAAAATAGAACTCAAGAACTTCCTGTATGTACCCTGTCTTCGCACATAAATAATGCACAGCAGATACATATTTCAAAGACTTGGTAGACACTTTTAGAGGCTCTTGAACTCAGAAATATCTTTTAGATTACTGGGTAGAGCTTAATCGGGGGCATAAAACTCAGGAAGTGGACTGGACTGTTTTGGACAGATGTTTGGAGTGAGGGTGGGATTCAAACCAGATTGAACTTAGATAAACTTGTGACCTTACCTCCCGCAGCTGCTCTAAGACCTTGTTGTAAAGCCTGAGCCAGTTCTCTTTGGCTCTGACTGCTGGATCGACTGGCTCTTTGAGCTCTTCTATAACTGGAGGGCTAAAAGAAAACAACACTTTATTTTTTATTTTAATCAAAAATGTCTGACACCCTACTGGGATTCGTGATAACTGCATTGTTTGTTTTCTCATTCCCTTTAATCCCCATCTCCTACCTCTCAGGTGGTATCTCTTCTAACTCTCCTGGCGTCGGTGGTCTGCTCTCTTCAAACTGCTCCTCCTTCTCCTCCATGAGTACCATCTCCTCCAGCTGGGCTGGGGGTGTTTTGGCCTCATTCTCCAATATCATTTCCTCCTCTAGCCACGGTTCTTCCTCCAGCTGGGGAGCCTGGTCTTCGTGGGCAGCCGACTGTGTGGTGGCAGGATCGCTGAATTGGGAATGGGGCTGTGCAGAGGTTGGGATCTGTTTGGACGAGGGACCCGTAGCGGTGGATGGGTGCTGAGAGGCTGAGTTAGCCATGGTGGCCGGGTGGGATGGAGGGACAGAGTTGGCTGCAACTGACTGGTTCTGTTGTGATACAGCAGAGGCTGGAGGTTGAGACTGGGCGGGCTGGGCGGTGGGAACCGAAGAGAGGAAAGTAGAGGCCAAGCCTGTGACTGCAGCTGTTAGAGGTTTGGCCATTGAAAAGAAGGAAGTAGCTGATGGGGCAGGCTGTGGCTGTGCTTGGGGCTGTTTAGGTGGTTGGGCTGTTGGTTGACCAGAGGGGGGCTGTGCTGCTGGGGCCATGCCAGGAGGATGAGCCTGGTTGGATGTCTGGTTAGAGGGCTGAGTAGCAGGCTGCTGTTGGTGTAGGGAGGGCTGTTTTTCTAGAGGGGGCCTGGAGTTAGGAACATCGAGAGTTGGAGGAACCGTTGACGTTGGCGTGGGAGTGAAAGGAGGCTCCATGTCCTCACTGACAGTCCCATCCAAGTTGTACAAATCCTCATCGTCATACATCATCTCCTCATCCTCATAGAGGCCATCCTCTTCTCCCTCATACAGTCCGCCATCATCTTCTTCATACAAAGCCACCTCCTCTCCTCCATCTTTGCTGTAACCACCCTCATCGCTGTACGCCCCCTGAGTCTCATCAGGGTCCCAGTCAGGAGAGCCTTTGCTGTAGCTGACTGAGGAATGGCAGGAGTGGTACGAGTCATTCTCGTCGTAAGGGTCCCTCTCTCCATATTCACCGCCATAATCCTCCTCGCTCAACTGACTGCTGCACCGACTCAGCTCTGCAGATGATGCATAGCTCCCCGTAGGGCTGTAAGAGAAGAGAAGAGAAGAGAAGAGAAGAGAAGAGAGGAGAGGAGAAGAGAAGAGAAGAGAAGAGAAGAGAAGAGAAGAGAAGAAAAGAGAAGAACAAAGAGTCACTTAACCATGCTAATATTGCCATGTTATATGTGAACAAATTAACATGTACACATGTGTAAACAAATGGTTTACCATAGCTTTATGAACCATAATCTCGCAAATGCTTACACAGTACTTCATTACAAGATAGCCTGTACACTGTGTACTCTACTAGACACTTTCTACATGTCTTGAGGTGACCAGGAATAATGCTGATGACTAATCAATGTAAAGCACAGGGGATACGAGAGTAGCAGACTACGAGCAAGAAATAGAGCAGAACATGAAGGTGAGAGATCTCCAGAAAGCTGACAAAAGAAAAAAAAAAGAACACACTCAGATAGGCCTCGCAGAGGAAAAAAGTATTTATACTCTTTGATGAATGAGACTTTAAAAAAAGAAAATTGGCACAGAGAGAAGGGAGGATGGACGGTGGAGAGAGTCGAGAGAGGAAAGCGAGGACAGGAAGGGAGGGAGGGGGCATGGAGATAAAATAGAGGGAGAGGAGGCAGCAAAGAAAAGAGGGAGTAGAGAGAGCCAAGACGAGGGGGTGAAGAACGGGGGGGAACCTGTCCGATAGACACACACAAGCAGCTATAATCTTAAGTACTGACCATTAGGTTGCTGGTTGAATAATTGAGAGTTTCATTCCCAATGTCTGAGAAATGTTCGAGTGAAGGCGCATAAATTCTACAATTGTGCAATCGTACACAACTCTGAAGAAGGAATAGTTTGTTAAGAACGAGTTCAAGGCAATGGCCCAATAATGAGCCATGACTTCCAGAAGCCATCACATACCTGACAGTCCTCTGATTGTTGTAGTCGAGGTCATGGCTGTTGCCCGAGCGCGGGTAAGAGAGGCTTCTGGAGCTACGGTGCTGGTGGCTGATGGGATATTGGTGGACAGAGGCGTTGGGCTGAGATGTGCTGTAGTAGGGAGGGGGGATGCTGTTACTGGTTTCACTGCGATAGTCACTGTCCCTGTCGTCCACAGCACTGTCTGGATCCTCATCTACACAAAGGCGCATAGAGACATAGTATTGGAAAAGATTAATAGCCTTTTTACAGTAGGTTGGATCTCTAGAGTTTTGTAACGCGAGACAGGAGGAAGTTCAAGATTTTAACAAAATAACAAGTGAAAGGGGAACAAATAGGAAAGTGGTGATCCCAGTCAACACTGTCATGTGGCGCAGAGATAAGAGACTGTAATCAGCACCGAACCAATCTTGTAGTACTATGGTAATTACAGATAACATAGATGAGGTGGCAGTGTGCCACTGCTGAAACTCTATCAGACTCATATAGGTCAATCAGAGTGCATCCACAGATGGAGCACATGATGAAAATCATCAGGGACTTCCTTCTCTTTCCATCACCATAACCAACCATAAATCAGTTCTGCACACTAAGGAAATGCTTCAGTTTTCTATGCTGCCCATAGATCAGAGCTTAACACCCCGGAGGGAAGTGATGAGAGACTTTAACACTGCTGAATCAGTTGAAAGCAAAACCACCATCCATCAATCATTCATCATTATCCACCCCCGTCTCTCCCACTTTGAGGAGGGAGGGGCAGAGGCGCTTGGTGCCATGCTTACACCTTCATCCCCATCTGTCTGGGCGTGTAAACACTAATTACAGGCATCAAACTTTGTTTCTCTCTTCACCCATGTCCCTGCATGCCCTGCTCACTCCTTGCGTCCCTCTCCGTCTCACTCACTGCACTGCTTCGCCATCTATCACTACACCCCTGCTCTTTCTTTCCTTTTCCTTTTTTCTGTGGACTGAACAGAGATGAGATAAATCGCTGCAGTGGTGTGGGTGAGGCGCTTATATAAGACCATCTGTTCATCACAGCATGAGAGAGAGAGATAGACAGGGAGGGAGACAGACAGATCAAGAGAGAGAGAGAGAGAGAGAGAGAGAGAGAGAGAGAGAGAGAGAGACAGATAAAGAGAGAGAGAGAGAGAGAGAGAGAGAGAGAGAGAGAGAGAGGGAGACAGGCACGCAGGGAGAGAGAGACAGAGATACATGGAAGGGGATCAGAGCATAAGTATTTGGACAGTGACACATTTTTCCATTATAGTGGCTGTACTGCAGCATACTAGATGAAAAATTAAGGAACCTTTGGTTAAAGGATCAGTTCACCCAAATTAGTCAGAATACTCTAAAAACCTCACTTTCTTTCATTGCAACTACTTTTTACCAAAGCCACTGAAAGCTGCTGCCATTGCAGTTTGTTAACTATCAACAGTAACAAGGACACAAAGATCTGTTAACATTACATTTTTTAAATTCCATTTTTAATGCTTTTTTGCAGGGACAGCAGAAATCACAGGGAATGATGAATAAAATAAAACGTATCTGCATGGCTAGATAACACTTGGGGGGAGATAGAAACAAAAAAGTATGTGATGGGTGTGATCTTACTTTGTTGGTCTCCCCATAGGTTCCAGTTACCTGCAATGAAATGGGGGAGGGGTCAGTCTGCAATTGACTTGAACTGGTGTCTAAACATAAACATTTATTTTCTTTATTAATGCTTCAATGGAGCCGGCGAATGGTAAGAGAGCACAGGAGTGCTTTCCACCTGCCCCAGACCGCTGGCTCAGCAAGCACAGCAGACTGGGCCAGCAGCACAGAAACATCCTGGAGCAGCTCGCCTCCAGACATCTGATACTGCTATTGATCCCTTACAGTGCAATGATCCAGGCCCCTTTTCCCCTTGAACACAAAACTACCCATGTGTGGTTACACGCATAATGCACACGCTGAGCTGAAGTAATCTAATTATAACTCAACAGCTACACGCATAATTCTCTTGTTCAGCACAAACAAATGGTTGGTTTAGGCAAATATTGATCGGTCACTTACAGCACTGGGTGCCTGGTACACGGAGAGGGCGTTCCTGTTCCTCTTGGTATGAATACTTGAAAAATAAGAATGCACATTAATGAAAAATGATCGGCTGGTAACAGAGAAAGAGAAAAAGGTCTTTAACTCTATACAAGGTTTGGGCGTAGAGAAAGGCAAATTTAGAGTAAGATTCCTTCTTTTAATCCACTTATGAATCCTCTGGGTATGTTCCTAACATGTGAGATTATGCTAGGGAATTAAATTATTCAAGGTGAAAGCTTACATCTTGGTCCCGCATGGCGTTGAGCTGCTCCAGTTTTTTGGCCCAGTACCGTGCCTCATCCTCTGGGATATCTGAAAAGCACAAGCCACAAACAAAATCAGGTACAAAAAACTCTTACAACTCTAATGAAGGATTTGATGAACAAAAATAGTTGTTCCCAAAATAGTGTTTTGTCCTATTTAATAAATTGTGATGACAAATTAAAGTAAAGCAACCTATTTTTAAGAACATTGTGACATTGAATATGTGACTTTTAACTTAAGCGCCAAAGCCAAACCCTCTATAAATAGAGAAAGTTCAGGAGTCAGGTGTAGGATATTGACTAGAGGAAGAGGAAACAGTATGAAAATGACACCTAATCAATGCTAAGAGCTTGATCACTGAGACAGAAAGGACACAATCACTTCTCTTCTCTGACACTGATGCAAACACAAACCTTGAGCACATTGCACTGTAACGTGGTTCAGCTTGATTAATCAGTCGGAAATTATTGGTGTTCATTCACACTGTATGCTGTGGAAATACAGACGTATATAATCTATTCATGAGATCATACCCTTTCCTCAAGGGTTGACAATTTCCTATACTTTTATATTTTCATTTCTTACCCCTATGGAGGATTTTTATAGTATTGATTGTCTCACCGAGAGGCAGCTCGAAGCGTGTGTCGAGTAGAACCAGGTGGAGAGTGGGATCTTTGGTGCCACAGATCTCATTATCAGACATGATGACCTGAGAGTCCAGTGTGAGCCACTCCCCTGGACCTTCCTGTGCACAGACGGACGTGCAGATGACACACAAATAGCAAGTGCGACCAGAAACTCTGCCGTAAAACCCCTGAAGTATGACTGAGAACGGAGTGTTCAGTTACAGCCTTTCTCTAGTGGTGGTGGTCGTGGTTAGTAGCAAACCTCATTTGACTGTCGGATGCTATGGAGGGGAATCCACACAGTGCCAACCATGGTGTCCCAGATTAACCCTTTGTTCCACACCTCCACTGTCAGACCCAGGTCGAGGCGGTTAATTTCACTACGAAGGGAAAGAAAGACAGAAAAGTTAACTTACATAAAGGAAAATAACTAACTTAACTGCAAGCACATTTTGAGCTATTTGTATTTACTTGACTACAAAACAGTATTGTCTATGTGTCACCTGCTGTCACTTGCCCTGAGGTCTGCTATAACAGCTTCTTCTTTTAAAGTCTGATTAAAAGCATATCTTCTTTTTTGGTAATCTTTTAATTAGCATGTGGTTAACATGAACCACTCTACTTTTTTAATTAACTGTTGAATTCATGTTTTTGTCACTTTCCTTTTTATAACTATATTATATCTTTATTCTTATATACATATAAATATATATGTAATAAAAACATATTGTAATATATATATATATATATATATATATATATAGTTTTTTTTAGTGCATGCTTATCATTGTAAATGTGCCATATAAAATAACTTGACTAAAAATCCTTTGCAGGGCCCATTTTTTTTAAATACAAGTTATTTTGATGATATTCTGCTGATACTACTGTACTCTATCTATATTTGTAAATTTATGTCCCTTTGCCTTGTGATCAAGTATTTTAACACTGTTGCACTGGTACTTCTACTTTTACGGATCTAAATACCTATATAATTCCTTCACCACTATTTCACTCTGTTTAAAGATAACTGCTTAACACTCAAGGCCCTCATCCACACAAACGATGCACAGTAATTACTTGTGGGCTTCACTGTGACAAGTCTCTGTGGGTGCAATCCTCAGAGAATCTGACATAGAACATTATAAAGACAGCAGGAAGCATAGAGAGAGGGAGGGAGAGAGAGAGATGAACAAGGGGAGGGATGAGTGTGAGGATGACTGTGGAGGAGGTGATAGTATCGTATGCCTGGAGCAACAATGTGGGAACTTTAATTAAGAAATAGGGGGACTGGATTTCCCGTCTCATTGGTGACTCTTTTTTAGAAGTGCCTGTTTGATTCATGGTTGTGACTGAGGGGCACAGTCATTCAAAGGCATTTTGAAGGAGGGGATGAGGCTTTCTCTGCAGCCCAAATATTACATAACACAGCTTTACTGATGCAACCCCAGCATAACATTCAACGCCTCCGAATATCATACAAATGCACAGGACTGCATTGTCAATACCACACTGTATTGCCCTGCATGTCAAACACTCACAGTAATTATTTTAAGATTCCACTGAAACACAAGCATAGACTAAGTCATTTGAAAGTGGGAAAAGCTACTTATGATGCCTGGAGAGCAGAAATATGAGGAGAGGGAAACGAGAATATGGGGAAGAAAGTGAGGTTGAAATGGGGAGAGGAGGAGGAAGAGGAGGGGCTGAGTAAATAAAGATCAAGAAGCTGTGTTTAGAGGAAGTGACAGAGGAGGGAGAAAAAGAGGGTCTGGAAGGTAGCCAAGGTTGAGAGGGAGGATGAGAGGGGCAGAAGTGCTGAGGGGGAGCAGATGAAAAAGAGGATGAGGCAGAGGTGCAGATGCAGAGAGGAAGAGATATGAGAAACAATACAGGAATAAAGGGCACTTGGGACGGAGGAGTGAAAAAGAGGGGAGGGAGGAAGGAAGGTTGATTGAAAGCAAGGAAGAAAAAAAACACAAAAGCACTCAAGTAGCTCAAGTGGAGGAAGAGATGAGAGGGTGAAAAGGGAACGCAGAGGAAAGAGGTAAGGAGAGGGAGATAGAGAAAGACAAGAGATAGATTTGATGATGAAGGACTCACAACATGAAGTCTTGCTCCCAACTGGGCAAGTTGCCCCTGACAGCAATGGTTGTGCTCTTCACATTTTGTACCTTCAGAGTCACGTATGTGTTGAACTTCTCTGTTTAGGAAAGAAGGGATGAAGAAATGGATGAAACATCTGTGAGTTAGAAAAACAACAGCAACCTCAGCCTCAGCATCTGAAGATATAGAGTCTTCTATGCATTATCCACCTTACTATTCCTTTTTTTCCATTTATAGCTGAAGCTTGTAACATTTCCTCTGCCTTCTTAAAGATTAATGTCACATAACAGTGAGTCTCCCGCCCTAAGTGATCTACCTTTTTCCATTTCCAGATTCCCAGGTCTTACCTTGGGGTCCATCCAGTTTGGCTTTCTTCACTGTGGAAACACAGAGAGAGACAAAGTCACACACAGGACCGCCATCTGTTTTTTATCTCTGAAGGCTCCCTTATTTTGGCTCTTACACAGAGAACAGGCCAGAAGACGGTATTCAAAATAAATTAAATCACACTGTTAATTTTAATATGCTACATGAAATTCTAGACAATATGTAGAAAGGGAATTTCAGCACATTTGAGACATATTTTCCTGTCTCTGCACTGACAATACAAATTCACATTCAGCACGAGTGTTGACTCAGGAAACTTAAAGTGCAACTATGCAGATTTAGACTAAGTGCTCAGGTCCAAAGAAAAACACAGAAACACACAGTGCTGGAAAACACGAGCACGTACCTGCTGTGTTTCATCAGTGTGAGACGCAGAAACAGAAACACACAGTACAGTTCAACTACATGCAAATGAAAGGCTACAGCATATTTTCAGATTTAACAGATAGCCGCTGTATTTTATCATTTTTATCAGCAGGAATTCTAATTGTAGGGGTGGGTGTGGGTATTTAATACAAATTTTATAAATAGTTTCACATATAACTTTGCAGATGTCTTGGTTGTACAAGCATTCAAAAGGGGAAAAAAAGCCTTTATCATTGTGTTGGGGGATTTTTCATTTTAGTTAAAGCCCAGATTTTCCCTGCAGCACCTTTTTACCAGCTTTGACGTAACTCACACATACATCTTTAATGCTCTAAAATCCGTTGCTCTCCACCACACACACACACGCACTCCAGAAGATCTCCACACCACGCTGCAGATGTGTACACACCATGCACACACGCCTGTGAAATGCAAACGTAAGCATAACATGTTATGTTACCAAACCTTTACCTTCACTCCTTGAGAAATGCAAAATAAACAACAATTCATAACTTATCCCAAAATACTCTCCTCATTGTAATCAGTTGCCATAGTAACCAACACAAAATGAAAAGTTGATAAAAAATTATTTTGAGTCAGTAAGTTCTCCTTTACTTAATATTTCTTTCATGCAACACACACACTCAGGCTAACTCTGCAGCTTAAGTGCCATGCTGTTACATCAGCAGGTACAGAAACACACACACACACACGCTCACAATCTAATGCACACACCCAATTGCAGTGACTGACTCACATCCACCAGCAGCAGTGATGGAAACATATGAATCTCTGCTGCCATTCATACATAAGCCACCTTAATGTCAACTCAACACAGCCACACACATGTAAATACGTACATGTGTGTGTTTACTAAAGGCCAAAATCTGCTCTGATTCAACATTCATTTAAAGTCAAGTTCAGCTTTCAGAACAGAAATGAAATAATTGAATATAATATCAAGAAAACAAAAATGTTGTAATTGTTTAGGCAGATCACGTCAGTGCCTGCTACTTGCTGTGTTTTAGTGTCAACACTAAAACAGCCCTGGAAATGTATCTCTACATGAGGAGGATCAATAAAAAAGGAATTGGATTTTCAACAGTGGAAGGCTGAGATTTAATAATAGCACACAGTCATAAATCTCTCTGACTGTATGAGTTATGATGAGAAATGTCTGCATGTCCTAACACACAACACTATATTTTGTTACAAGTGCATGTATCTAAGCAGCCAAGATGACCCCACCAAACACGTTCTGTTCACTTATGTGGCTATGTCTCATAAACAATAAGCCTGTGAAGGGCTGCAGCACTGGATCAATTGGTTGAAATGTAGGTTATGGGTGAGGAGCCTAAATTCAGGAAACGAGGTCAGAGCTACAACCATCTATCACCACCTGATTAAATGAAAGAAAGGCCATAAAAAATCAAAGTGTGGCTGCATGTTTTTGTTATTCTTTAATCAGAGGATGCATAGCGCAGTCTTTAAAACTCGATAATAAATTATGTGCAATGCCTTTTTTTGGACCAGAGATCATTCAGGAAGTAGCTCTGACACAGCAGACTCTGATTTATGGGAATGGAGCAGATTGGCAAGGAAACAGGGACTCAACAGGGAATCAAGAAAACCCTTCAAGTTGAACTATCAGGGAATGTAAAGTAGGGAGAGGGTGAGCTAAGTTTAGCCATGCAGCGACAAAACCCAGCCTGACGTGATTCACAGGGACAGCGCCTTATTCTGAAGGATCATATATATACACGCAGATCTGCAGCAGCAGTCTTTGCGACCACCGACAGAGACGTTTCATTACATGATTAATTGTCCAAATCCAGACAGGGACTTGAAAGTATATAAGTAGGATATCTGCAGGAAAAAGTTTTTCAGAGTTAATCTGTGTCTGAATTCTGCTTCATCTGCAGATGCTCCAAAGAAAAGGCTGCCTATTCAAGAGGCACAAAGTACTGTGGAGGCCAGAAATAGCTCCAGTCAGGTAAGCATGAATGATGTAACAGGAACAGAAAGAGGGCTGTCTGCCAAGTCTTGTAGCCTTACGACACTGACAGTCGCAGCCAGTGCTTATGAATGAATAACACCCGGGGTACTAATGACGCCCGGGGCTGACTCAGAGCAGGAGCCGTCAGTGGGTGGACCTGGCGGGATGGAATGAGGTGGGCATCTGTAATGGGTCTGACATATGGAAGGTGACTTTGAAAGCCCTCAAACTTCCCTTTTGATGACACATCACCATTATTCTATCTTCCATAAATGTCTAGAGTGCTCAACCATCAACACACACTCATTTACTTTTTTATAAATATAAAAGTCATTTTCTATACGCAAAAAAGACAAATATTCTGTAGTTTCACTTTTTGCTGATCAAGGATCAAGGACTGAGCATCTTTAGGTTTTGGACTGCTCATTGGACAAAACAAGCAGTTTGAGGATTTCCCCTTGGGATTTAGCCAGTAGTGATTATAGCTGGGGCTGCACACAATGATTATTTTAATTATTGATTCATCTGACAATTATTTTCTCAAAAAATCAATGAGTGGTTTAGTCTAGAAAATTTGTAAAAAGTTGTTTTCTTTTAAATGTCACCAAAGTATGCTATCCAATGTTGAAATCTTCACATATTATTGTTGGCATCAACTGTATGGACCCCACAATTATTCACTTTATGAGAGAATTTAAAAATATAAGGGCTGGAACCGGACAACTTGGTTTTTTGTGCATCCTCCGACTTCAACATTTAACCTGCTCCCATCCGGACAACGTTATTGCCCCTTCTATTGAACAACAAATCTAAAATGTCCTCTATTCCAACAGCTATTGAGTTTTTATGCCAACTGATTTGGACCAAATGTCCAAACTACTCTCTGTCTATCCAGGTGTCTGTTGAGGTTTTTTGTGATATTTAAATTAAATTAAACAAATGTCCCTACACACAGACAAACAAACGAATCTAAATCAATTATCAAAGCATAGGTGCTGATTTTCTTTGGGTTCGACTCATGCTTCACTTTTTTTTCAATTGAGAAACGAATCAACCATGAAAACCATTTTTAGTTGCAGCTCTGATTAGATTCCTCATAGATGTTTGGCGAAGGAGGCAACCTTTGCTAAAACTGACTTTACTTTAGAGGCACCACAGTGTTTCCGAGGGGGACCTGCCTCTCTTGTTACTGGGTGTGAAGTAGGGGGCTGCTGTTCTGGAGCAGTCACAGCAGATGCTTATTCATCGCACTGACGGACACCAGCAGCGTCAGGTGCTGTCAGGGAAGGTCTGGTGGGAGGAGGTGACGCATCGCTTCGGGGGGGGGGGGTCACGACGTGGAGAAATGACGCGCATCTCCAGTCGGATGCTGAGTATTCCCTCACGACTACAGCAGAGCGGCGGAGGCGGCGGCGCGGTGCGGCAGCGGCAGGGGCTTTTCCTCCTCCTCCTCTGACTGCCCACGCATGAATGAGCAGAGTGGATCTCGCGCGCGCGCGCACGCACGCACACACACATACATACACATACACACACACACATACACATACACATACACACACACACACACACACACAGGAGAAGCAAACAGCGGTATCTCTCCTCCTCCGCATGGACACATTCAGAAACTCAAACAGCCTGGAAGCTAACAGCATCAACAGTCACACCTGAGCTAGCCGTGTAGCATTAACGTCTCTTTCTACGCTGTCACTCCAATCACCAGTATGCAACACATCTGTACTTGAGGTCAAACAGTGGAGGGAACAAACATGTCTTCCGGCAGCAGAGGCGTTAAAGTGTCCCGGTGTCGCCTCCGCTCCGTTAACGAGCCGCTGCGTGGTTTCGTGACTATTCAGCACAAACCCTCCGCCGCTCGGTCCACACCGACTTCTCCGCGGAGCTGACAGCCCGCAGCCTCAACCTGTCTGTCGGACAACTGCTGCAGCTCCACCAGTGAACACTTCAACACACACACACACGGGTGTCCTCTCTTACCTCCCACACACAGCAGGGACATCTCTGGCTGTCCTCTGTCCTCTGCTGACAGCTCCGTGATTTGTTGCTCCGTGAGTCTCCTGGTTACTGGGGCAAACACTCAAACTGGGAACGGAGACGAGCCGGCATCGTGTCAGCGGTCGCTCTAGCCTTGTTTTCCTCTGTTGCTCTTTTTACGGGCAGGACGAGACACACACACACATATATACACACACGCACGCACGGGAGTGAAAACCCTCGCCCCCCTCTCCCTTCTCCTCTGCATTGCCTCAGCTCTCCTCCGCTGCTCCTCCTGCGCGCACAGCCATCTTGTTTCAGCGGCAGGCGGCACCCCTGCGCGCGAAGACAGCTCCGACGCGCAGCGCCGCGCTGCCCCTGACGTCACGGTTGATGAGTAGCAGGCAGGAGGAGGAGGAGGGGTGGGGGGATGTTATGAGTGTAATGTACCCGATGAGCGATGAGGCGATAGATTTCATTCATTTTTCTAGTATTTCAATTTCATCCAACGCTGTTCTGATTGTTAACCACATCCTGGGCCCCAAAAGTCCCAGACGTCTGGGTCTCCAAAAGTTCCAGACCTCAGGGCTCCAGACTTCCAGGGCCCCAAATCCTCTTGACCTCCAGGGCCACAAAAGCTCCAAACATCATGGATCCAGACACCAAAAGCTCAAAAACTTCCAAGGCCTCAAATCCACCAGCCTCCAAGGCCCAAAAGTTCCAGGTCTAATTTGTTTGGAATGCTGGAAAGTAACTGGGTACATAATCTCAAATTATCAACTTCTCTTGTAGTACAATTTGTTCCTCACTAGAGTATTTACATTTTTAGGCTAATCTATGCCTCTATTTCACCACATTTCAGAGTGAAATATGATGCTTCTTATGTTTTGCTCATTATAGAATAAAAGGCCACAGATGTTTGCAGAGTGAAAGATGTCATGGCTCAGATACTTCTGGCCTGAGGATCTGCTGCTTGTACCTTTAGTGACATCTATGCTGTGGTTTAAGTGAGCTCAACAGAAATAATGATAATGCTTTAACTTGTCCTGCAACCAAACTAACAAAATAATCAATGTCACAATAATATTTTTAGTTGATATTATTCTCAAAAAAGCCTACTGTAAGCTGTAGAAATGAATTTAGAATAAAGTCTCCTTACTGGAAACACTGGTAAATTGTTTCTCATTTACTTTTTACACAGAGTGATACTGCTCACTGACTCCAATAAACTCACTGGTATCTGATGTTCAGGATGTGCATGTCCAAGAATAGATGTGAGTCAGTATGTGGGCAATGTGAGTTTATCTTGGTGTCCATTTATTACACTGGCAACAAAAAAGTGGAATAAATAAAGATCCTGAGCTCTCCGGGGGAATGGGAAACATCAAATATGAATCCCATGAGTGCTGAGTCAGTCAGAGGATGACAAGAAAGAGAGGCGGCGCACGTGGAGATATGATGAAGAATCGGACAACAAAGGAGGCTCAGCACCAAAGAGCTTTGCAGGATTTGTGCAAATCAAAATGTTGAGATTAAACAGTGTTCAGAGCAGACATAGCAAAGAGTATACACATAAAACTCACAGTATATATTAAGCTTAACATGAACAAATATTGCTATCATCATCTTCGTCCTCATCAACTTAATATCATAATCATGATCATCATCATCATGAACTTAATCATCACCTAAACACCATCATCATCTTCACCATCATCATCAACTTAATAATCACCATCATCTTCATGATGATAATCATAATCATCATGATCATAATCATAAACTTCATAATCCCCATCATCGTCATCTTCTTCACCATCATCACGATCATTACCATCATTATTATTATCATCATCATCATTATGATCATCATCATCAACTTAATTAATCTGGGCATTAATATTGTTCCTGTTCTGTGTTACACTATTGAACACATATCTGGGCCAAATCTCAACAGGTTTCAAACTGTTGACTGGATCAAAACAGGAACCAACAGTGCATCTGATTCACCGTGAACCTAAAAAGATGTCAAACATAAACTAAATGCTGGTGTGAGGAGAGAGGTGGAGAGCTGCTTGTAGTACCAATAATAAACTTCAGGGGGCAGAAGGTTGAGACAGTGACTGTTGATTCCACTGGATATACGCAAAACGACGAAGTGTGTTGTTTACGCATACGCTAAGTTCAAGATGGCTGCTGGAGACAACAGCGGCAGGCCTCCTTGCCTTAATTTCTCCGGCGCTGGTCCTTTGGGAAACAGCCAGCCCAGTAACAGCGTTTTCTCGATGCCTGTGTCCAACGGCGGAGCGGTCGGTGCAGCCGGGGGAGCGCAGGGAGTCGCGAGGCGTCCCAACCCGCAGCTGGGGCCTGGCGGCGGCGACAGCAACGGTGTCGCGACCGGAGCACCGCCGACTGCGCAGAACTCCCTGCAGCAGTCCGCTGCGGCAGGTGCTGCGGCAACCGGAGCCATGGCCACCCCGGCGTCTAACATGGCAACCGCAGCGTCGAACGCGTCGCAGTCGGGCGCGCCGACCGCCACTCCGGCGGCCGCGTCCGTGCTGGTGTACCGAGAACCGGTTTACAACTGGCAGGCTACGAAGAGCACCGTGAAGGAGCGGTTTGCTTTCCTGTTCAACAACGAGGTGCTGAGCGACGTTCATTTTCTAGTGGGCAAAGGAATGGGGGTCCAGAGGATACCTGCGCACAGGTAAGAGGAGCACAATGTGAACAATATCAACCGGCTACCTCTGAATGTGTAAAGCGTGCTGACCCGTGTGCTGCTGCTTGTTGACACCGTCAGGTTTGTTCTGGCTGTGGGCAGCGCTGTGTTCGATGCCATGTTTAACGGTGGGATGGCGACGACCTCAACGGAAATCGAGCTTCCAGATGTGGAACCAGCTGCTTTTCTAGCCCTGCTGAAGTAAGGAGGGAGAGATCGTGTAATCTGACGACCTGCATGTCATTTGGGTGGACGTGTGTTGTTATTGTTACTTACAGTATTTATCATGTTATTATTGTATAATATATCGTATG